CATTTCAGCTTTAAAAAAAATATATATTCATTGACATCTACCTATGGTGTAGTCCTTAGTAAGAAATAGAGTGCTTATAATTGTGGATCATATCGTAAGCAAAATTTGATTTCAGTCTATGAAATGTTGGCAAGTTTAATTATGTTGCAGTGGGGGATGCTTCGATAATCTGTTACATCCAAAATTAGATCTGAATAAAATAACTTTCCTCTGACAACTAAGAGCTTAAATACTTTAAAATTAACGACAGCTGTGTGTGTGTGTGTGTGTGTGTGTGTGTGTGTGTGTGTGTGTGTGTGTGAGAGAGAGAGAGAGAGAGAGAGAGAGAGAGAGAGAGAGAGAGAGAGAGAGAGTTGTGTGGAAAATGAAACTGATATACTGCTTTCTCAACCGACACGGAGAGAGTGTAAAGTTCGATATACCAAATACGTTAAAGTTTGTCTGACATCTAAAGTGTTAGTGTAATAAAATTTAAATATTTAAGTGCTATCAAATGATGATTTTTCCCAGGCGTATAAATGCGTATATCAGTATGATTTTTCCCATGGGGTATGAGTATGTATATATTTATGATTTTTCCCATGGGTTATGAGTATGTATATATTTATGATTTTTCCCATGGGTTATGAGTATGTATATATTTATGATTTTTCCCATGGGTTATGAGTATGTATATATTTATGATTTTTCCCATGGGTTATGAGTATGTATATATTTATGATTTTTCCCATGGGGTATGAGTATGTATATATTTATGATTTTTCCCATGGGGTATGAGTATGTATATATTTATGATTTTTCCCATGGGGTATGAGTATGTATATATTTATGATTTTTCCCATGGGGTATGAGTATGTATATATTTATGATTTTTCCCATGGGGTATGAGTATGTATATATTTATGATTTTTCCCATGGGTTATGAGTATGTATATATTTATGATTTTTCCCATGGGTTATGAGTATGTATATATTTATGATTTTTCCCATGGGGTATGAGTATGTATATATTTATGATTTTTCCCATGGGGTATGAGTATGTATATATTTATGATTTTTCCCATGGGTTATGAGTATGTATATATTTATGATTTTTCCCATGGGGTATGAGTATGTATATATTTATGATTTTTCCCATGGGGTATGAGTATGTATATATTTATGATTTTTCCCATGGGTTATGAGCACGTATATATTTATGATATGCACAGTGAATTACTACTAGTATCCTCTCTAGACGAACAAGTCGGTCTCTGCTTTTATTCTTCTCATTTTCTGACAGCAGAACAAAACAAAAGAGGCAGAAACCGACATGCTGATCTAGTATCCTCTCTAGGTTATTGACGAATTTCACTTATGAACCAGTATTTATAAAATATCAAAATAGTGAAAAAAATTGTAATAATCCAAGAGTTCCAAATGAATTAAAAATGTAATACAATAACACTGAAATCCATTCTCTCTCTCTCTCTCTCTCTCTCTCTCTCTCTCTCTCTCTCTCTCTCTCTCTCTCTCTCTCACACACACATACACACACACACACAGCTTTCTATTGCTAATGCTCAACGCCAAATCATACGTTAATTTGTATTGTTATGTTTTGAATAGTAGGTTGTCTTTACAAGTGGCAAGTTTTATAAAGGAATTATTTTAGTTATGATATTACAATACTATTATTTATTTATTTATTTTTTAATTCTACAAAAACAATATTTCCTGATTTCTAATTCGATTCAAGTGTTATCAATTTCATTCTGCTACCCATCCCGCCTCCCAAGCCATAACGATAAATCATACGTGAAAATACGTGGAGTGATAGAAAACATACTGACCTGGATAACATCCATGAATTTGAACTTACACCAAGTAAAATACAAGAACTTTGGTCCATATAACCGTGCGTGTTTGATTTTTGCTACTGTGATGAACGGTAACAAAGATACAATGTTGCAATAACCTACTGAGACCGGATGGCTGTATTGTAAATTCCTTGGCTATGCGACACAAGGTTAATTGTAATTTAGCTGATGGAGGAGGGAGGGGAGGTGCCTTACAAATTTTATGGTTCTAATAGAGATCGTTTTACATTACAGGGTTTGCACGCTGATCAAGGTCATTCATTGAAAGGCATTAAGAAATGAATACATGAATTATAGGCCTTGAAAGTCATTGATATTTCACATTGATCATAAAAATAATTGAATTTAAGAGATTTTCCTTTTAAAAAAATAAACAACAAAATGATTGAAAATTTTACTTTCGAGTAATTTAGTTTACCTTGTATGACGATTGGAAAAGTACGGTTTGATTTTCTGTCATATGCCAGTAATTCCCTTCTTGTCGTGAACAGACATCACGAATAGCGCTCATTTCACATGATGTCATTAACTTTCTTTGACATCACTAAGTTTAATTGTCACATTGGGTCCTGGACAAGACGTTCTGTCGTAGTTAAAACCGTGCATGCGAAAACGTTTTACAATTGCATGTTTGAAATGATGGCTACCACGACAATCCAAAATCGCTTAAGTCCAGCACGGTCCATGTCCAATGATTCAGTTTGGCAAATATGCCTACTGCCTGACGATATGGATGACAATTCATTTTAAAGTTATATATCAGATTATTGAAGCTCGAAAAGATCTCAAACTAAGAATTTTTAGCTCTTGCAGCTTGTCTGAAGTTGAGTTTTGAATTGAGTCACTCATGTAATCAGAACCAAAACCGAGATCATTCTGAAATCTCGAAGATATATTAAACTGCAAATATGAACCTTTTGACCAATCTCGGCAAACCATATAGCAAATTCAAACTTTTTTAAACAATAGATTTATAATTTTATTAAGTCTGATCATCAGCATGAGAAGTGTACACTTCAGGACTAATCGTTCGGCGATCGTTAACACCAACCTCGGTCAAATTTCAAGCGTCAAAAGCATTGGGGGGGGGACTAAATTCCTTAATTTTTCTTCCCATTATATTATACCTTATGATCAAACATATCAACACCAAAGTGACCTCTTTTCATTGGATACAACTCTGAATTATTTGCCAAATATTTTGCAAGGTTGTCCAAGAAAAAAGGTCATTGCACATATAATACTAAGTTTTACATTGTATTTCTCGACAATTTGGTATGCACAATTTAATTCAGTCACTGCTTCGACTTATGTTTTCCATTCTCGATATAAAATAAGACTGTATAATTTGCCTACATCTGTAAAATTTCCATATATTCTGATACTGCATAAAACTGTCTAGGGCAAGAAGTCGTTATTATGACAACTATAAAATAAACTGATGTTCTTGTACGTAATGTCTTGAAGCGAACAAAACTTTGTGATTTAGTGGCGTATCGTTTCAATTAAATCTTGCCGTAATGAGGAAACTAACACTGCAACGACGTGAGCATCGAGTTACACTAAGACCCATAAATTGTCATAGATAAGTACAGATTCATCGATCAATGCATAAGAAAAGTTTGTGTTTACAAAATTCCTAAAATGATATTATCCGTATGGCTGTAAACAACAAATTACGCAAAATGAAATCCTGAGGTTGTCAATGAAATCGATGCATGCATGGATCACGGTGCATAAGAAAAGTTGGTATTCATAAAGTGCTTTAATAGCGTTGGTTATGTATAATCCTGTAACTTAATCGTTTATGTTCCATTTTAAATTTTCCACTGGTAACTCCCACTATAAAAATAAAATGCTAGACGTGGGCAAGTTTTTGTTATTTTTTATTTTGTTTTTTGTTTTATTTTTTCAATTTCAAAGCTCCGAAATTAGAAATGAGGACATGTAAACGTCATCGGTTTTCAGCAATTGTGACGTCTATCGCTTTCCAGTGCAGTAACGTCAGGAATAAGCTGTCTCGCAGTTATACCCATTTTAACCAGACCCCAGAAAAGAACAGTTTATGAAATTTCTTTACTTACTCGCACAAATATTTTGCCCAAATATATCTCTAAAAGAATAGAGGCCATTACATGTTATTATATATGTGCAAGTATTTCTTTATATCCTTTTTTTTTAAAATGAAATAACTTTGAAATAAAGAAATAGCCTAATCGAATATTATTCTGAATTTTTCAAAAGTATTATTTCATGATTTTCTTTCACCAAATACTATATTAATGAAAACAAAAAAAATATTTTGTTATTTCGATTTTTTAAAACTGTTTTCATCAAGCGAAATTTGGATTACATTCTTTCAAAATATTGGCCTTTCTATGAGCGTGACGTTTTATACAAAATATAAAATCTATATAGACACCAATAATATCTCAGCTTTTAAGAATATCGATCCAATGGCTAACATATGCGTGTGCCTATTGTTTATCCCTTAGTAAGGAATACGGTACTTATAATGGCGAATCATTTCCAAGTCGATAATTGACTTCAGTCTATTAAATGTTGGCAAGTTTAATTATGTTGCAGTGGGGGGGATGCTTCGAAAATCTGTTAGGTCAAAAATAGGACCTGAAAAAAGATAAACTTTTCTTTTGGAACTATTAATTTAAATATTTTAAAATTAACGAGAGAGAGAGAGAGAGAGAGAGAGAGAGAGAGAGAGAGAGAGAGAGAGAGAGAGAGAGAGAGAGAGAGAGAGAGAGAGAGAGAGGGGGGGGAGAAGTGGGAGGAATTCATTGAAATAAGCCTGACGTACTGCCTGCTCAACTGACATGAAGTGAGCGGTAAAGTTAGGTGTATCATGTACGCAAAAATTTTTCATGATATCTGTGTGTCTGTATGTGTGTGTGAGATTTGGATTTTTAACGTAGCTTTAATAACGTTTCAATCATATCGATACGATGTATGCAGTGTGACAGTTTATTGTGATGCCATTCACTTGGTCATCATGCCGCAGACATATGGCATGATGTCCCACCCAGTCACATTATCCTGATACCAGACCGACCAGTCCTAACACTAACCTCGTACTACTGAGCGTTAAGCGAGGCAGCTGTTATTAATTTTTGTAAGTCTTTAGTATGACTTGGCTGGGGATGTAACCCAAGACCTCCCGCATCTGAGGCGGACACTCTAACCACTATGCCACCGGAGCAGACCCCATAACATCTCAGGTGTTGGTATATTAAAATTTCATATTCCAGTGCTGTCAAATGATGATTTTCCCCAGGTGCATAAATGCGTATATAATTATCATTTTTCCATGGTGTATGAGTACGTATATATTTATGATTTTCCCATGTTGTATGAGTACGTATTTATTTATGATTTTAACAGTGAATTATTACTAGTATGCTCTCTAGATTAATGACGAATTACACTATGAACCACTATTTATAAAATATGAAAATTGCGAGAAAAAAAATGATAATAATCTAATAGTTCCGAATGAGTTAATAATTTGCATTATTATATTTTGCATAGTAGATGCTATCTATACATCTGAAATTTTTTATCACTGAATTGTTTTATGTGTCATACTACAATACTATAATCTCCTGTTTTCACATTAGATTTCAGTGTCTTTATGTGGGAATTTTATTTTTACAAAAACATTATTCACTGATTTCCAATTCAATTCAAATGCTACTAGTTTCATTTAAATCGATTCTTCTACCCATCCCGCCTCCCAAGCCATAACGATAAATCATACGTGAAAATACGCGGAGTGATAGAAAACATACTGACCTGGATTACATCCATAAATTTGAACTTACACCAAGTAAAATACAAGAACTTTGGTCCATATAACCTTGAGTGTTTGATTTTTGCTACTGTGATTAACGGTAACAAAGATACAATGTTGCAATAACCTGCTGAGACATACGGCAGTATTGTAAATTCCTTGGCTATGCGATACACGTAAATTGTAATTTAGTTAAGGGGGGGGGTTGCCGCTTAAACCTTTTACAGTTTTAATACGGATCATTCAGACCATTCTACGGGGTAGGTACGGTCATTAAAGATCTTTGAAAGGCATTGAGAAATGAATATCATGATGGAAGGCATTGACATCCATTGATATTTCACTTCGGTCATTAAAAGGCATTGCTTCAAAAATAAAATGTGATCACAAAGTACTCTCCAGCAATTTATTTGACGTGTGATGATTGGAAGTTTGATTTTCTGTCTTATAGTAGTAATTCCATTACTATCGTAATCCACATGAAGTAATCGGATATCACGCATAGTGATCATTTAACGTAATGTCATTAACATTCTTTGATATCATTTAATTGTCACATCGGGTCCTGGACAAGACGTTCCGTTTTAGAACCATGCACGCCAGAACATTTTTACAAACGCATGTTTGAAACGATGGCTACCTAGATAATCCAAAAAATAGCTTAAATCCAGTGAGGTTCATATTCGATGATTCAGTTCAGTAAATAAGCCTACGGATTGACGATAGTGAGGGCAATTTATTTTAAAGTTGTGAATTATATCAGATTATTGTAGCTAGACAAGTGTTAAAAGAGAGAATTTTGCCTATAATTACATCATTAATCAGAGGTCAAGAGGTCAATGGCTTTCCTATTTACAGATCACTCACATATCACACAAAAGTCTTGCTCCATGACAGAATTCTGTCTATGGGGCCTGTTGATTTTTACGGACATTTATTTGTCTAAGAGGCCTGTTGATTTTTACGGACATTTATTTGTCTAAGGGGCCTGTTGATTTCTACTGACATTTATTTGTCGAAGGGGCCTGTTGATTTTTACGGACATTTATTTGTCTAAGGGGCCTGTTGATTTTTACGGACATTTATTTGTCTAAGGGGCCTGTTGATTTCTACGGACTCTTATTTGTTTAAGGGCCTGTTGATTTTTACGAACATTTATTTGTCCAAGGGGCCTGTTGATTTTTACGAACATTTATTTGTCCAAGGGGCCTGTTGATTTTTACGGACATTTATTTGTCTAAGGGGCCTGTTGATTTTTACTGACAGATTTTTGTCTAAGGGAAATGTTGATTTTTACGGACATTTATTTGTCTAAGGGGCCTGTTGATTTTTACGGACATTTATTTGGGGCATGTTGATTTTTACGGACATTTATTTGTCTAAGAGCCTGTTGATTTCTACGGACATTTATTTGGGGCATCTTGATTTTTACGGACATTTATTTGTCTAAGAAGCCTGTTAATTTTACGGACATTTATTTGTCTATGGGGCCTCTTGATTTTTACGGACAGATTTTTGTCTAAGGGGAATGTTGATTTTTACGGACATTTATTTGTCTAAGGGGCATGTTGATTTTTACGGACATTTATTTGGGGCATGTTGATTTTTACGGACATTTATTTGTCTAAGGGGCCTGTTGATTTTTACGGACATTTATTTGTCTATGAGGCCTCTTGATTTTTACGGACAGATTTTTGTCTAAGGGGAATGTTGATTTTTTTTCCTATACTGTATAGTAGTATATTATCTTCTAGGGCAAGCAGACTTTACAGTTACAAGTGCTTCTTCAATAGTCTCTCTCTCTCTCTCTCTCTCTCTCTCTCTCTCTCTCTCTCTCTCTCTCTCTCTCTCTCTCTCTCTCTCTCTCTCTCTCTCTCTCTCAGAATCTTAACATTTGTCATATTGTTAGTTCGGAAGGCTGTTTTATCTTGCTTAGTCTAAAACAGACGAGAACGCAAGTAATTCGTAATTATATATATATATATATATATATATATATATATATATATATATATATATATATATATATATATATATATATATTGAAAATGAACAAAAGGACAAGATTTACTAACTTATTGGGTCAATTAATCATTGTACAACAATTAACTCGTCCCCTTCCAGTAAAATTTGGGACAAAAATAATATTAAATTGGATCGATCTTCTTGTTTATATTGTTTTGTAGAACATTTGGCTTTGCATTTTAGTGGACGTATCTTTTCAATTAAATCTTGCCGTAATGGAGACAACTTATATTATACAGATGTGAGCATCGAAGTACACTAAGACCCAGAAGCTGTTAGTCGAAGTACACAAAGACCCAGAAGCTGTTAGTCGTAGGTACGGATTTATGTATCATAGTGATTATGAAATTTTCCACGACTTTGGCCTGCTATTACAAAAATACTACACGCGTTTTTTTTCAAAATATTAAGTGAAAAATGAGACCAAGTAGACGTCATCTGTTTTCAGCAGTTGTGACATATACCGCTTTAAACGTATCGCAATAATTTTAGGAATAAGCTCTCACGTGGTTATATGTCTCCGTACTTCGTCATATAAAAGGAACGCAAATTCTTGTTTTTTACCATAGTAGTTTCTATCCTATAGTAAATATACGTTAGGGTCTAAAAATCGTTCCGAGCACGGCGCAGAATATGTTCTCTTTTAACACTAGGCTCTAATATTTGAATGTGATGACTTCAACAACCTTTATTTGTACTATCAGAACTTTAACTACATATTTCTGTTCTGGAAATTTATACAAAAATTTTTAAATGATGGAATCTGAAATAAATATCAAGTTAAATATTTTATCTTGTAAAATTAGTTTCATGACGTGTTAGAAATGGGCTACTTCCTGTCATCGTTCATTTTTCCAGGGTTTGTGACCGTAATGGTGAATATAAAGGTTAATTTACCAGATTGGATTTAAGCGATGGTCGTCCGAGATTGATGCGTTGGTAGGTTACTGTCTTATGAAAGGATATGTGTATTTTTTCAGTCTCCGTGCGATTCTGAAGCGAATAAAGACGCGTGAGAAAATTCGAATCGAGCAGAGAGTTGTGGTCATGCTTGCACGTTAAGGTGATTTTATGTTGTGAGAAATTTCGTCGTGCTTTATTGATAAAACTAATGACTACTGTGGTGTTTTTTTTTTTATTTTTTGCTCCTTATTACACTCACAGCCACGCTCATGTTTGCAAAACAACGGAGCCATGATTGTTTATTTCCTTCTTTTCGCAAATTAAATATTTTTAAATAATGAAACAATATTTTCCTTAATCGAAATATCATTTCATATTAAACAATTATAATGTCAATATTTTATAATAACCAAATATTTTATCAATAAAATGGAATATTTTTTCGTCATTCCGAAATCTTTTTAAATAATCGAAATATGTTATTACTATAAAACTGTCTTTCGATCATAGTGATTTTCAACACATTACATAAAATCCAGATGCAAAAACCATTTCAGCTTTTAGAAGAAAAAAAAAATATCGGTCCGTTGTCTAGCAGATTAGGTTTCTAAATTATTAACCGTATCAGCCAATTGTCTACAGGAAACAGTACTTATAATTGCGAACGATTCTGACATTGCAAAGTTAACGGAGAAAAAAAAATGCCGTTTCATATACCAGTTCTATTATAGTGTCGGTATAATGCAATTTTATATGCTAGTCCTATTACAGTGTCGGTACAATACAATTGAATATGCCAGTCTTATTATAGTGTCGGTATAATATAATTTCATATACCAGTCCTATTTGGTATAACAAATTATGATTGATCCATGGAGTATGAATACATAGATAACTATGATTGGAGTATGACTACGTGCATAATTATGATTGCCAGATGGAATATGAATACATATATAATCATGATTGCCCCATGGTGTATGAATACATATATAATTATGATTGCCCCATGGAGTAAGAATACATATATAATTATGATTGCCCCATGGAGAATGAATACATATATAATTATGATTACCCCATGGAGTAAGAATACATATATATTAATAAGTGCCCTCATGGAGTATGAATACATATATAATTATGATTACCCCATGGAGTAAGAATACATATATATTAATAAGTGCCCTCATGGAGTATGAATACATATATAAGTATGATTACCCCATGGAGTATGAATACATATATATTAATAAGTGTCCTCATGGAGTATGAAGACATATATAATTATGATTGCCCCATGGTGTATGAATACATATATATTAATAAGTGTCCTCATGGAGTATGAAGACATATATTTATGATTGCCCCATGGTGTATGAATACATATATAATTATGATTACCCCATGGAGTAAGAATACATATATATTAATAAGTGTCCTCATGGAGTATGAAGACATATATAAGTATGATTGCCCGATGGAG